TGAGTGTCCAACTCGGTTACAAGGAAAAAATTGGGCACATTTTCCCGTACTTATACCTGCGACAAATAAACAAGAATATCTTGCAAAGAGATGGCATGTGTGCTGAAACATAATATAAGTAGTGAAACAACTTGACAGTGTAAAACATGGCTAGTTCTACTACATATTCCAAAATGTTTTGAAATGTATCATACTTTACAGAACTACTAAATTATTAAGAGGTTGCATTGAAAGCCGCTGTTTATGTATACGTGGATTATTATGTGAATGCTGTAGACAGAGTGAGAGCCATGGTATATTACGAGTTGTTAAAACCACATAAAACAGTCACTACCGAACGTTATTGGCAACAATTGAAGCGTTTACACGATAATTTCATAGAAAAACAATCATCAATTGCATGAAATCGCCGGAAAGTGATCCTTCTCCACGACGATGCTTGGCCTCATGTTGCTAGAACTGTAAAAGAAACACTGATGGAGTTCGAATGGGAGATTCTCCCTCACCCAGCCTACTCTCCAGACCTGGCCCCAAGTGATTATCATTTGTTCAGATCGATGCCACATGGTTTGGAAGACACAAATTTCCATAATTACGAAGAAGTTGGAAATTGGGTTGCTGAATGGATAAGCTCGAAAGATAAACTGTTCTTTCGTCACGGAATTCAATTTTTGCCAGAAAAGTGGGAAAAAGTAGTAGCTTTTGAAGGCAAATATTTCGATTGATACTTTTATATACTTTACTGTTGATATAAATGCACAAAAAACACGAGAAAACAGTGGCTTTCAATGCAACCTCCTAATATTATTTTACAGTATTACTTAATTATTGTACATGAACATTATACAGGGTGAGGCACCTAAGAGTGGCCACCTGAATTACTTGGCTGCTATTGGCGATAAGAAAAAATGCGTCAGACCAAAATTATTTGGTTTCGAGGGTCTGATCATCCTATGTTACTAATTTTTCTGTAGGTGGAGGTGTCAAGGAGATATGAAGATCATCTCTGTTTTTTTAAATGGAGCGGTATGTTTTTTGACTGACATTCTGAGTATTTCAAGACGAATACAATGACCTACTGGGAAGATCATTTGTGGCTTGGGTTAACGCAATTATGATGGAAAATAATTTACTTTGATGAAATGCTCAATCACCGTTGTCAATTCATTTGCCTAACAGTAATACACGACTAATAAAAGTGTTCAAAATGGTGAGCTTGAACATTGATGTATACTCTGAAGCGTTGCTTGACAAATAATACGGGATGATGAATTTCAGTTGGGTTTATCGCAGCACAAGCTCTTCTTATACGCTCTTTCATATCTTCTTTAGTTGTTGGTTGTTCTTTATACACTTGCTGCTTTAATATTCCCCACAAATAGAAGTCCAGAGGCGTTAAATCCGGAGAACGTGCGGGCGTGATTGAATGTTTATTTTCGTTCAACAACCCATAACAAGACATTACGAGACAAGGGTGAAGTAATATCAACAACCAGAGAAGGAAGTGTTCGACCATTTCTATAAAGTAAATTATTTTCCATCATAATTAGCTTAACCCAGGCCATAAATAACTCTCCCAATAGGTCATTGTATTCGTCTTGAAATACTCTATCAGAATGTAAATCAAAAAATATACCATTCCACTTAAAAAAACAGAGATGACCTTCATATCTCCTTGACGCCTCCACCTATCAAAAAACTAGTAACATAGGATGATCAGCCCTTCGAAACCAGATAATTTTGTTCTGACGCATTTTTTCCTATCACCAATAGCAGCCAAGTAAATCAGGTGGTATGTCTTAGGTGCCTCACCCTGTATATCGACTTTATTGAATTTTATACAGTAATATAAATGTGAAAATAAAACGGTCTGTTTCTAAGCTTGCACATGAGTATCCAAATTGAGCCAAAGTGAATGGTATTCTACGGACGCATCGACGCACATTTTATTCGTATGTCAAGGGGTTAAAACGTCGAGTCTAGTCGAGGATACTATACAGTTTATTTATTTAATTTCTAATATTTTTCATGAAAGGAATCTCAGACGGAACGACGTCTAATTTTGACGTTAGCTTAATAGCCCAGGAAAAGAAATACAAACCGGGAAATGAACGCGCAGTTACTTCAACCTCCTCATTACAGCGTCGATTCTAATCGCGAAGATTGCCTTTTCGTTCTATATACACGTAGCTCGTCGCTACGATCATCGGATTATCTATTAATTCCTCTCTCAGACGGTAATTCCGCCGCTCGAAACTCAACATTTAAGTAACTTTCTACCGATCTATGCAGACGTTGCTCAATTCGGTCTTCCCGGACGAATTTTATTCCGAATAAAGAACGCAAATTTCAAATTTATTCGTAAGAAAGGAAACAAACCTGAGACAATTCGCTCCATTTTATAATATTACTTCGACCAAGACGAGAATGCTACGTAGGCTTGCGAAAAAAATTGTAGTATAAATCCTTCGGTTGATCGCTCAGGAGCCAGTCGAGCTACTCATTCTCATTCTCGCGAATACATCTGTAAGTTTTATTCTTTGACGGTGTCAAATTTGTCCATTTGTGCTCTCCAGTATTCCAAGTCTCGAACATTCGAGGAAACAAATGACGAAATTAAATAATAAACATCGAGGAGACATAATTAACTCTGCAAAGAGATAATTTCAGGTACGAAAAACGAGAGAAAATGTATCCATAAGTTGAAAGATTTAATTCTAGCTCGTCAGAAATTGTGGAAGCAAAAACGACAACCTGGAAGAGAGTCCGCCAGAGTAAAACAGGAACAACAAAGCAGGGTGGATCGCTAATAAAGGGAGGTAGGACACTCCGAGCCTGGCCGGTGTAAACCGCAACTATCCGTCCGTTCGTCATTTCCAGCGTGCTTTAAATATTAAATAGAGCTCGCTGCGCCCGTGAAAAGGATTATCCGTGCCCCCTGTGGCCCTGTGCCGAGAAACAGAGACAGACGGACAGACCACCGTGCCTCTGTGGTTTGCTCTCGTGCTGCCAGCCGGATAAAGATTTTTCTACTTTAAACTACCGGAAAGGATCTATTCGTCGATCCGATTCCGTCGCTAATGAAGGGGATTCTCCCGGAGTTTCGTCTTTATCAATTATCCCGCGATTTCGCGTTTTCAATCCCTTACGCTGGAATTGCGTACTACGCGCGTCGGCGTCGCGAGATTTTTAAATTGGCCCCTATACACGTCGACGCCGACGGCTGGCTATCTTGAAAACAAAGTAAAGCAAAATCTGAACGATACTTACTCTCGTAATGCAGACTTTTGCTCAGGAGTTGGCGGGGTACACCCTCGTTCATAAATATGTGGACACTTAATATCTTTAATGAATAATTAACCCTTTGTACTCGAGAGGACTCTCAGTCACCACTAAGTTTTACACAGTAAAATCAACCAACAATAATTAGGTTTCATTTCTTTGGAACTGGAAGTGTCAGTAAAATGATTGTCGGTGCAGTAAAATCTCAAATTAATTTGCGTTCACGAATCCGGCTACATCTTTCAAGTGAATCTAAGCTTAGCATTCGAATTACTGGTAGATACCAGAAAAAAAGACCTCGAGTGCAAGGGGTTAATATATACCGTAAATTATTATTATACGACTTTTGTTGGTAAATTCTACATTGGATGTGAATTTAACAATATTTAATAATATTGAATGTTTTGAGCGTCATATTCAATTTTATAGTGGAAGTCTGGGGTCGTTTAGATAGAAAAATTCAGAAAGAATGTTCAATACACCAAGAACATTCATGGCATAAATATTGGGTATTCGAAAAAGTTCGTGGCGTTTTTCAGCTATTTGCATGATTTCATCGCATCGTTTTGTGATTGGTCGCCACAGCGTGGTGCATCTTTGACATCAAAATTTTGATAGAGCATTTTATCCGTAAACACTACAAATTTTGTCACAAGCCTGCGTAGCATTCTCTGTAGCGAATGTAGCGAATTTTCTCAATATTCATCTCCATGTTCAAGACGTTATTATTGTTAAATCAATAAAGAAAAGTGATACCTGTTTTTTCTATCCGTAGTATAAACTGTAACCTTTCAAATGCCATCTAATATGTCCCAATAGCTTACGTGTAAACAAGATATATAATGTTAAATCCGTCTAGCGACAAAACGCCGACAGAACTTTTTCGAATACCCATTATTACAAAATAAATGAGATAATGTTACTTCGGGTACAATGAAGAAATGAATAGTATCCAAGTTTGGTAGAAGAAATTTTAACATTATCTAGTTGTCTATATAGTTTCTTATCATTACTATTATTATATTAAAAGAAACTATTAATAAAATGTATTCGCTAATGCAACACAAACATATCGAAACATAAATGATATAATTGATTTCCACATTATTAAAGAAGTGTCCACATATTTCTGAGCGGGGGTGGACATACATATATACCTATGAACCGAAGGGTCGGGAACCAAGGGGATTATGCTGTTCGGTCCGCCTTTGTCGCCCTAGAGTCCCTCTTTCTTTCGAGCAGTCACACTGCATAGTCGTAGTCTACATTATCAATGATAATTTAGCATACCGTGTCGGTTAAAAACACAGTATATCTTATCCGTCTCGATTTCTTTAATTTTTCTTACATATATTTACACCAATGGTTACTATCGGTCTCCCAGTTTATAAAAGTCTCGTTTTATGTTTCGTTTGCAAGCTTCGTCGCGCGAATGCTTTGTAGACATGAATTGAGCTGCAATAATTGACAGTCAATTGAGCTGCCTGGCCAACTCCTGCACAACTGATAATATGTACAGTTCTTTGCTCAGGAGTTAGCATAGCTAAACAAGATAGAGCGAGAGAGTAATAGCAACCATTGGCGTAACGTTAACCCTAGGACACCGCACGATTGCATGAACGGCGGAGCCGAATCATTATTTAGGCATCAGAATACGACTATGCAATGTGACTACTCGAAATAAAGGCGGAACCCTGGGGAGATTTAGGCGGAGCGAACGTAATACTCTGTCCCCTCAGTCTCCTCTAGTTTGGTGAACCCTCGCCAACTGTCCTGCAACCGACAATACTTGGAAATGCTTGCATTGTACCAGGCGTGGGACATAACTCGAACTAGGAGGAAATATCGATCGGACGTGAAAGCATGGATCCGAACCAACGCACAGTAAGCCAAATTAAGCAATATTAGCGCGGAAAAAAACATTTTCGTCATAAGTCGTCAGATTGACGTAATAATTTAGATCAACAAGATCAATATATAACGGTTCGGAGTAATGATTAATTTGTTTGGGTGTCCAATGTTTACATTAGACTGCGTAAACAAAACATAAACAAACACAGTCGTATTATTTGCAGCATTCTTCTCAGTTAGCAGATACTAAGGAGTGACATCAATGTTTTCATTTATATTGTATAGCCATGGGAGACTCTATTGACGGTAACGAGTCTTTAGAAATACTTCTTTTATGTTAGAAATATTTATACACGCTAGTTTTGAGCCTCCTGCAAAAAATAGGGATTGTGATATTTGTTTATCACATTATTTAGGACATTTTGTTTTTGCTAGAACGTTCTGATCACGAATCTCTAAGTCCAACGTCTCAATCGCACCGATCTCGAAGACAAAAACTGAAGCCAAAGAATGAAAAACACGTTACATCCTTAAGTTGATTAATTTTAATTAATGAAGTGTATTCATAAAGTTTTATTTTATTTTTATTGCGTACCTAATTACTTTCACAGAATTTTTTTCTTTTTTTTTTTTTTTAAATACACATATAAAAATGTTTAAATAATTTCTCGTTTTAATATTGTTTCACCTTTTTAAGTCATATTAAACCACTGGCACTGGAAAAATAAATATTAGTTAAAAACGTCGTTCACAATTTTTTCGCGCTAATACTGCATTCTGGCCCACTGTGCATGCCTCTCACAATTAGACAGAATTCGCTATACTTCGAGTCACGTTTAAAACGTTTGCAACGCAACAAAAATATTCGACGAATTGAAACAAGGTTACAGAAATCAACTTTTATTCAGGGTACCATATTTATAGATGACGCGATACACTTTTCGATGACCTTCGACAGGTAGAAGATTAACCCTGTTCTGTAAGTTGTTGCGCTAAAAAGAAAAAAAAAATGGATTCTCGTAAAATCTAATCAACTATTGACTTACAACGAAAGCTTTTTAGGTGTCCGTCTCCGATTGTTTTGATTTTTGGATATGTTTTAAGGACCGAAAAATAAGATATAAATCTAAAGTTTCACCTGCAATAGGCTATCTCCGAAACTGTCATAGATAGAAGAAAACTTTTTAAGAAAAAGTTTCATGGTTTTCTATTTGCATATAAAATCTGGCCCTAAATTAGGTAAAAAGCACTTTGTTTATAATAATAGCCTATGCAGCTGAAAGCTTAGAGGGTCGTTTCGCCCCCTAAATACGAAAACGGGCTAATATAAAAAAATACGTATATCTTATTTTTCGGTCCTTTAAAACATATCCAAAAATCAAAACCGTCGGAGGCGGACACCTTAAAAGTTTTCTTTGTTAGAAGAATCGTTTACGCTCTATCAGAGAAAGTCTCTGTATTGTTCGGGAACGAGCTTTTAGCCGATAAAGGCGCCCCCGTGGACCCTCAGCCTCTTTACCTCTTTTCCGCTGACCCGAATGCGAATTCTTTCCGTTCCTAAAAATTAAAACCTTCATCCTCGAATCGTGGCCAATATTCAAGCGTTGCAACTGATCAACCAAAAGTAGTTCCACTTGTAAACTCGGAGCCCTTTTTCAAAGAATTGCCCATTTCAAACAATGTCTCTATCGATTTGTCGCTTACCATGGAAGCTAAATCTGTAACTGAGATTTGCATATTTTCTTTTCAGATCTGGTTGCATTTTTAACACTCCCCGTTGTCTGCATCTATCGATCTTTGTCATTGAAGCAGTCAAATTATGCGCTGACGTAACGGAGAATCGTCGCTAAGACGATTACTCTGTCGGCTAAATAAAAACGCTGGTAACGTTACGTCCGTGGACCGGAAGCTTCCCTCTGTTTCGATCATCCCGATTCGTGAAACGACTGATGCGCCAAAACGGGAACTGGCGCATTGGCGAACTTGCGAACGGTGGGGATTCAGGAAGTTGTTCAGGCAAGATTTTATTTCATGGAAAATATCTGTGTATTTATAACAATACATGGACTGTCTTTCCGTTTCGTGAAAACGCTCGCCGATATTTCCTCGTCGATCCTCTCGCTCCTAATCCAACAAAGCCGTCGAGACAAAATCCTTCCTAACGCTTGGGATATTTTCTTCAGTTATTTCACAATTATCGATAACATTTCACAAAACACTGACCACTCGCGCCTCGTTTCGAGCAACGAAAACGTCGAAAAGACCCTAAGAGGTTAGGCTCCTCTAAAACAGTTTCGATTCTAACTACGAACCAGTCTATGCTTTCAGTTTTCTCCGAGATTCTTGCCACAACCATCGAATCCTTTAACGGTCGCGTCAATCCTGCGACGCTACCACCCGTGAACATCGCGGAGTCCCCAAACGGAACATTTCCCGTTTCGACATTCCTCCGGAACGTTCCGATCGAGCGTAGCGCGGCTACCCTTTCCTCGATATCACATTTATAACAACACACAGGGGACCGTCTCCCATTTCTACGAAACGTTTCTCGTCGTCTCAACTAGTATCACCATCTCAACTAATATTCCACTCGATTCCCAATTTCCTGTCGTCGGGATCCCTTCAGTACGGTCTCCAGACGTCGTTCCGCTGTTCGCTCTCCTCCCCCAGGACTCCTATCTCCAACCTGTTGCTGCTGATAGTGAGATTACTACCCGCGATGGTGACCTGCTCGTCGGTTAGGTCGCCGTGAAGGTGGAGGTGGATCTGGTTCTGGTTTACCGTGCTGTAGAGCTGCGGGTAGAGAACCATAGGCGCTGGACTGATGTAATTCTGGCTGGGATTGTTGTAGTAGCCCTGATAATTCGTGTTGTAGTTGTGAGAGGCGACTGGAACTGGCGTGGCTGGACCGGGTGTCCAGGAACCGTAGTGATAGCCCGGACTGCCACTTCCGGTACCACCTCCAGCGAAGATGTCCGGGTCGGTAGACTTGCTGGGTACCAGAGGCAAAGACGACGACGACGACGTCGTCCCGTGGCTTGGGTACATCGAAACGCAGTTCGGCGTGTACGTGTCCTGCTGGTTCTCCGACGGAAGCACTGCAACATCGAATTTTACGAGGGTTGTTCATTCATTCATTTATTTAAAGTGCGTAACTTGTTATAGAAAGTTATTGCGCTATTGCTTAGTTATTACTAACTTATTTCCATTCTTATCATCGTCGTACATGACTCCTGCATTGTTTTAATACTGTCTGTACACCAGAGAATAGGAATTTTGCAGCAACAATGGTTTTAAACAGTAAAAGTGTCCATAAACTCGAACATCAAGAAAACATCTACTAGTAAATATGAAAGGTTTCATCGCGATCGGTTAATTCCTTATCGAATTACATTAAAGAATAGGAATTTTGCAATAACAGTAGTTATAAATATTTAAAAATTCATACATTTTTGCAAATGTGATCATCGCAAAAACCTGTCCAGCAGCAAAATATAAGTAGTTTCATCGATTTCAAACCGAACATACGGGAAATAGTATTCTTTTTGTGATAAAAGTGGCAACAAATAAACTAAATATGTTTTTATGAGACCAAATGGCACCGATGCTCTACCAGATGCAAGAAGTTTCGATCCGATTGGTCCATCCGTCTCGACGTAAGAAGCAGTACAAAATTTATCGGTTTAAAAAAAAAAAACGAGTACAAAATGACAAATCGCAAAATGTCTCGATAACGGGACCACCGGGAAGACATACTCTACAAGATTCAGAGGCTTCATCCCGATTGATCAAGCCATCCCGACGTAATCGGTGAACAAACACAAAAGAATAAAAAAAATATACATATCGAATTGAGTAACATCCTTATTTTCAAGGTCGGTTAAAAAGAAGCAGAACTGGGACTGCTATCAAGATTCGAAGAGCAGGAAATATCGAGAACGGAGCAAACGGCTGATCGAGTACAGCAACGACGTTGATTATCGAGAGATCTGTTCGAGCTGTTAACTCCGTAGCACGTGATACCGTTCTCGCAACGCATAGTTACGTCACACCGCGAAGGAAGATCGCGTTCCTCGAATGCCTCCTGCGTCACCACTCCTCCGCGACGTCGACGCTGACGCAACGGTGCATCGCAAAACGCGACGATACGCGTCGATTGTTTCCTATTCAGGCTGACGCGGATAAGCTAGCTTCGTTACTTTTTCAATGCTCACCTGCGGGTAACGGCACGGGTTCCGTGGTTGGATGGTGAGACAAGGACTCTCCTGGATAGGAGAACGCCCCGCCCGGTATCGGCGAAAAGGAACCACCGCTGCTCACAGGAGGCGCCGGATAAGACGACGGCGTCGACGAATAGGCCCATTCCGTTGTGCCTGTGCCCGTATCTGCAACAAGATTTAAGATGCTACTTTAGTCGACATTTTATACGTACATACAACGGGAACAAAATGTGTGTTTTTTTTTTATCATAATGTTGCGGCGGCATGAAGATGCCGCAATATTGCAAAGTTGCATCGTCGCGGCAGCGTGAAGATGCTGCGACGATCTGAAGTGCGTTCCGAAGAGCAGGCGGAAGCGGATCGTCAGGATGTTCCGCTTACCAAGAGAACCGGCAACTTTTGAATGGGCAGAACGTCGTCAGACTTGCTATCGAATAGACGTGTTTACCTTGAGTTATTGTTATTGTTAATAAACGCTTTGAATTCTTGTTCCTTTTATAAAAGACGTGTTGATTATTTAAAATCTCTACTCCTCGATGTGCCACCACCCCCCGGCGCAACAATAAACACATATACACAGACGGTTCCATAAACAAGGAAGAAGGTGGATGTGCAATAATAACAGACAATCAAGAACTGACCTACAAAATTACCAAAGGAATTTCAATCTTCACATGCAAAGCGTACGCGATCTTACAGGCCCTACGATACATAAAATCCTCAGAACACAATCCTTCTGTTATATTTACCGACTTCAAATCAGTTCTACTCGCTATGAAAGACCTTACAAATACAGCAAAAATAATACAGGACATCTATGCCGAATTAACATCACTTTAAGTAGATAAAAATGTCCAACCTGAATTCGTTTGGATTCCATCACATCAAGGAATCGTGGGCAACGAAAGAGCAGACGAAGCTGCAAAAAAAACCATCACGATGGAAGAACCATATGTCTAAATATCACCCACATTGAATGAAACGAAAAATGTAATAAAAAAAACTGCAAAAGAAATCTGGAACCAGAAATGGACCAACATGTCACCAACGAATCTACACCAAATCCGAAAATCAACCAACGATACAACTGCGACCCTTCCAAATAGAAGACTACAAGTGGCAATAACAAGATTGAGAATTGGCCACACAAATCTAACCCATTGTAAAAAAATAACGAAATCGGAGCCACCATTATGCACCTTTTGTGACGAACCTCTCACAGTTAAACATTTAATTGAAGAATGTCAAGGAATGCAGCACGATCGAGTAGAGTTCAAACTTTTAAATAATATGCAGACGATTCTCACGAATAGAATCGAATTTCTCAAACTAGGAGATATATTATGAAATATGAAATAATGGATAAATTGTAATTGAATTGTAGATATTAACGTGGTCACTAATAACCCTGTAGTTGATGTGACCTTAAACAAAGTAATTAAAAACAAAATGTGTTTTTTGGTGCTAATATGCGCTCTCTTGTGTACGATAATCTACAGGATGTCCTAAAAATGTTGGAGGTCCTTGAAAAGGGGTAGGTTGGGGTGGATTGGTCGAGGTTTTCTGTCAATATCTCCTTAACATTTCTTGTTTATAGAGATTAATTGTAAGATAAGGATAGGATAAGGATAGAATAAAGTACGATAAGGGTAATTTAAGGTTAGAGTAAGAATAAGGTGTAAAGAATTTGTAAACGGAAGTGGGGCCATGCAGACCCTTTGGGGATGCATTAAATACTACCGTCTCCTTAACGAAGCCTCGGACAACATTTTCGCTAAGGTAAAAGTTGTTTCAAATCACCCCCTGAACTACCCCTTTCAGGGACCTTCAACATTTTTAGGACACCCTGTATACGCGAATACAGAAACCTTGGCACGTTTTCGGAGATTCATCGATGTGTACGATAAACGTACGCGACAAATCGAATTTGTTTACTACGATAAGTTAGCTGTTTTACTAAATAAGTAAATATAATAAAGTAATATGAATTTAATTTGAAAAAATATATATATACATGTCGAATTGAGTAACCTCCTCCTTTTTCGAAGTCGGTTAAAAAAGCATGCCGTATAGTTTGTTCTTAACATCTAGACACCCTAGATAACCCTACTCATAGATAATTTCGAGTTTCCAATTCTTGCATTAGTTGGACCGCAAACGGTACACGCGTTAACGCAAAGAATTAATTACATAAAAGACTTGTATTAATTTTGAACTCGAGCCAATACTTGTGAATCCGCGATCCGGAACTTGGAGTCGAGAGAGTAACTCCATTCGGTAGAATTAATCGACGTGACTCACCAAGTTAAGACGCAACGGAAACTTAAACGATCGTTAGAAACAGACGATAGAGATTTCTTCGAACGAGCCGGTGAATCACGATCGACAACTTCTTCGCATATTACGATAAAATTTCCCAAAGATCGTTACTTGTAAACATTTCTCATCTTGAAATATATTTACGGCGTACTTGCATTCGTATGTGGCAATTTTCATGTTCAAATGAAACACATAGAAGAAATATTCAAACGAGCTTTTCCTTTGAAAACAAAACATGCGCATTTAGGTCAATTATTGTAGACATCAAACATTGCAAAAGATACTGTAAACTTGCGTTTCTAATATGTTGATAGAGACCAACTTAGATAGTATAAATCTGGATTTGCTTTCAGAACCCTCAGAAATGTGAGCCAGGTGATTTACAGCCGAAAAACGGCAAAATATTCGCACTTTTTTCAGTTTTTCGGAAAAAAGTCACCCAAGGAGTATCCTGACGAGAAAAGTCATTATTACTTTTTTTTAAGTAAATAAAATTTTCTACAATTTGAGATGTGTTGGAATTCTGTAACTCCGTTAGTTCCATTAATTCTTAGTTCACAGTATCGCGGTCGAATCTAAAGTTTTATGCGTTCTCACCGTTAAATATAGCGATAATAAAGTGATGGAATAGAAATAAGAATATCTGAGCTGTTAAAAACCTCAAAGCCAGGGAGTTTTCAACCAGTTTTGCTAATTGCAAAATTCCCTGAGAAACTAGAGTTATGTGTCATCTTGTTCCGCGAGATCCCTCATTGTCAATTTTCGTAGAGCTATATTTCTGGAACTAATGGATCTACAGACCTCCAACATCTTAAATTGTCGCAAATTTTGTCGACTTAAAAAAAGGTAATAACGACTTTTCTTTCCAGGATACTCCTTTGGTGAATTTTTTGCGAAAAACTAAAACTTTGCGAATATTTCGCCGTTTTTCGGCTGCAACTGGGCTGGCTCGCGTTTCTGAGGGTTGCAAATTCGAATTTATACTATCTGAGTGGCCCTTAACAACATATCAAGAAAGAAAGTTTACAGTATTTTCTATAATATTTGGCAAAAAAGTTGTCAAGTATAACCGGCTTAATTCGCCTCGAAAGAGGGCTAGATTCGCGTTTCGTGTACAGCAAAACCGTATCGCTCGAAACGAAACCGTATCGAAAGAGTCACGGTTCAGTTTTACAATCCAAAGGACACCGGTCGCGCTTTCGACGACTCGCGTCGAAGCAATTATCCGCTAATAATTAACATCTCGTGAAATATTTATCGCTGTCCGTTGCGACTTCCGTCGGACGTCCGATGAATGTCGAAACACCTTGGCGTGGCCGCAGGCGCAGCGAGAACAGCGAGACGAGCATAAGGTAAAACTTATGGGAACGAAGAGGAAGATATTGCGCGCGCTGAGTCACCGATGATTCGGCGAAACTTTTCGTCGTCTCGCAAACAACGAGGACGAATCGGTACCGATTATGAAATACTATTCGTGTTCGCGATATCAAGAATAATGTTACACGAAAAAGTCCGCGCACCGACACACAATACCTCGTGTGTTTTTCTTTATTCCCCTCGATGAGCCGTTTCAGTTTTCATTCGGCATCTGTAACATTAGAGTTTGCTTCTCGTCCTCGACGGCCTTCGCGCGTTATAAAACAATCTCTGTCCCGCCATTTCTTAATTTCTATTTGTTATTCCTCAGCAAACAAATGATTCAACCGTTATTAATTGTATTTAAGTTTCTAAAATCTTATGGCTTATCGTTGTAAATCATGTATCGTTTCTAATATACTAACATGTATACTGAACTTATATAGTAATTGTATCTAAGTTTACGTTTGTATAATTCTGCAATGTGTACTGTTTGATATATTTACAATGTAATTGTTAATATGCTCTGGAATGAGCATATTGCTAATAATCCCGTAGGGGATTCAATAGCGTAATAAATAACAAAATTTCTATTTGTTTCGAACCATGTGCGAAAGCTATGCCTATAGGTATTAGTTTCGATAGCTTTCGGGTCACCGTTTCGAAGCTCTCTTCGGGATACCTATAAGCGCGACGATTGTCGATACGGAATAAAAATATGAATTATTAATATTATTATTATTATTATTATTATTATTATTATTATCGTAAGAGTGATCAAGTGCAAATACCATATAGCGTATAACAAACTAGTACTTCGAAAAAATAACAAGGATTTGGAAACTTTATACAAGGTGGTCAAGTTGAATGATGGTTAGGTAACCGAAACCAGATTTCAATGTTTAGTTTAGATTTCTGTTTCGTTCAGTTATAGTTAGACTGCGGATCTTTATGCAAAATACAATCTTCGCGAGCGAGCCTACAAAAATTGAACCTAAATAAGAATTTATTTTATTCTTTAAATATTACAACATAAACTTCACTTTCAATCTCTTTTATATTCTTGCATATTGTTTGCATTTTGTAGATTCTTGCACATTCAAATTTCATATAAATACATACAGATTCGCAGTCTAGTTATAATTACTCGTTTGCTTTGCTCCCTGCCCTTTCCACTCATTAATCATTTTTCTAAGAATTTCTTAGCTACCCTCATGGTTCGCACTTGGTGATCCATATCATTATTACTATTGGAATAGCAACGATAATAATAATCCAAAGATAAAATAAACAGTTAAAAGCGGGAATAACCAGTATTAGGAAGAGAGGGGTATAATAAGCGTGCGTAGTAAAGATGAAAAAGGAATATGTAAACATAAAGATATTTTGTTACAGGAAATGTGTTAATAACTATGTAAATGTTTCACATTAAATAAAAATACAAATACAAATACTATTGGAATTTTCATTTCGAATCAATGATCGTAATA